TTTTTTAGGACTGATGGACGTGAAGTAAGAGAACAAGCAGAGAGCACAATCAGGAGGCACCGCTTCACCCAGACACGGCCAGGCAGAGACGTCCACACCGCGTGCACAGCAGCTGCTCCCTGAAGGCCCGGGGAGGGGCGGAGAGAGGAGGGGCGCCAGCCGGGCCAGCATCTCCCACGCAGAGGACGACTTCCCGAGGAAGAAACACATGGCACTTTCCACATGCCCGGGCTCCCCTAATCCTCACGACATTCTGGGAGGACCAGGTCTGATGTCCACCTTCTGGATGAGAAAACGCACTGGGAGAGGCAAAGTCCAGCTGAGTCACCGAGAGGAGAGGCCTGGTGGGAACATGTGGCCTGGCCTCGGTGGCTTCCAGCCCTGCCTGGCTGCTACACTGCCTCTGGGGGCTGAGCAACGGCCCGTCTTGGCACTTCATTGACAGACAGCACCTCGTGCATCATGGTGGAAGCTGCCTCGGTACATACCCCATTGCACCAAGTGCTCTGGACACTCGGGTACTTCTTTTAAAGACTTCTGTGTGCCTTATAAACAGCAATGTGTCCCTGATCCTGGGCCAAAGCTGGATGCGCGATGCCGAGGTGGACGCCACCCCCGCCCCAGACGACACCGGCTGGCAGCGACTTCACCCCAGCGGTGTGGAGTCCAGAGCTCAGCCTCCCAGGCTGCTTAACAAGTGACTCTGGTGCTGTAGACCATTTTGCATTTGTTTTTAAACAAAGACATATATAAAATATTACAATCTCCCGAAGCTGATTTTGTATTCGGCCTAATACCTTAGTAAGTTTAAATAAATAAAAGACCCACAGGAAAGCAGGTGAAAAGCAGATGCACTCCAGTTTCTTTCTATGGGGCACACCCATGGCTCACACCCCGTGGCCCATACCCTGTGGCCCTCTGTGAGGCCGTTCTGCCCTCCAGGGGGCACTTGGGGGCATCTGTGGGAGACTCTGGTTGTTGCAGTGATTGGGTGGATGGGGGCCAAGATGGCCAGATGTCCTGCAGTGCTGGGGATGGTCACACACTGTGCATGACCTTCCGACGTCCCCCTGGACGTCCATGTAGACAAAGCACCTGTTTATAACTTAATAATTACACGGGCCTGGAACCAGACTCCGTTTTACACTTACGCACAATTTGTTACAGTTTAATCACACACTGAATTTTCCAGGGATGCAAACAGCATATAAATGGAGAAGCAAATGTGTTACACACAGTTTGGGACTTTACTGAGTATGGTTTACCATTTCGGAAGTGTGTCACCAATGACAACGTGGCTCACCAAGCACAGATATGGAGCTGCACCTGTGACCGTCACGATCACCTAATTCTACATACAGGTGTGAGCCGCTGGCCACCTCTTTACGGCTTCTCGGGAAGGCGCACCCAGATATCAACACACTGAAATACACGCAAGTATGAACTACCTACCTTTCCTAACTCCTTTAGGGCACTAGGCTGACTCTGCGTGGAATGTTTTGAGGAGGTGGGGACTATTCCCTATGAATTCCATCTTAGAGACATAAAGTACTCAGTAAAGGGGGCATCCGGACGTGTGTGCTGAGTCAGCGCAGCAGGCTTGAGAAGGCTGGGGACCCCGCACTGATTCGTCACAATGACCCCCCCGAGGCAGGCGGGCCACTTCCTGGTGTGGAATGGCAGCTGAGGTACCAGCGTGGCCAGAAGCAGGATCCAATCCCACGTACTTTACATTTTCTTCCGTCTCCGACACTGACTGCTCCCTCACCAGGTGTTTTTCTGTCTGAGTCTGATGCCTGTGTTTGATTTTGGTGATTGTACGGAATGTGTTCGTACTAGTGATTTCCGATGGCATGCTTTATGAATTTTAAACAGTTACGGCATAATAGTAACAAACACACATTTAATAATCATGAGCTCTTTTTTAAAAAGTGCTGTGGGGTTTTTTGTACCCTCCAAAGACACCTACTGCTTGGGTCCCCATACCAACCACCCACCACAATAAATAAGTAAATGAATTTAAAATTAAGACGGAAAAATGCCCCCCGCGGCTTCGGTGACAGACTTACCTTCATAACTGGAAGAAGGTCCTCGACTCTGTGCACCTTCTCCAGAG